TAGCTGGCGGAGAAGAGTGTAAGGGTTGGGGACCGTCGGGTGGATGGTCTCAACTCGCTTATTAACCTCCCTGAGATCCTTGACAGGCTGGTAGTCATGGGTGCCGGGCTTCTGTACTGGGAGCAAGGGAATGTTCCAGGGGGAGTGGCAGGGAACTAAGATTCCTGCCTCCCTCAACCTTCAAATATGAACAGCAATACCCGTTCGGGCCTTCTGACTGACAGGGTATTGACGTATCTGGGCTGGAGTAGCTGAGCTGGACAGAGTCACTATAAGAGGAGGATGATGTGCTACCAGGCCGGGGGGATTTGTTTCTGCCCAGACACCAAGAATCTTTTGTTAATTCAGTTAATAGGGGGTTTGTAGGTAAAACCCCTGGCAAGTTTGCTAGGGGCTCCTCTAGCAAAAGGTATTCCTCAGACAATGGGCAGGTGAGTAGAATGGCCGGTGGGCCTGACCCGACAGTCAGTTCAGTATGGCCTTTCTTGAAGGAAATTGTGACCTGTAACTTCTGTAGCAAGTCTCTACCTAGCAGCGGGTATGGGCATGCTGGCATAACTAGAAATGAATGGGTAATCGTTCTTTTTCCCAGATCTGTTATCCTGCCTTGGGTCCAAGGGTAAGATTTCCCTTGTCCAGTGGCCCCTTGTATAAGTGTCTTTTCCTTTGAGAGTGGGCCCTGGGTGCTCTGTAGGACAGAGTAGGTAGCTCCTGTGTCTACCAAGAAGTTCACAGGCTTTCCCCAACTTGTAAAGTTACCCTGGGCTCCCGGGGGCTCATCATGTAAGAGCCCTGACCTCCTCATTCTGCGTCCTCAAAGAGGACGAGGGGGGCCTTCTTTTTGAGGGCTTGTCTTTTTTCAGGGCACTCATTCTTCCAATGTCCCTTTTTCTTGCAATATGTGCATTGGTCCTTCTCTAGCCCGACTCTCCTCGGTCCATTGCTTACCCTGGGTGCCTGTCCTCAGGCTCTGCCTTTTCCTGGCGGTCCCTTTGGCTGGGCTCCTTGCATGGTTACAAGCAGGATCTTGGCCATTTTTTTAGTCTGTGCTATATCTACCTCATCTCTATTGTTGAATACTCATTGGGCTATCTCGACCAGCTCAGACAGGTTCTTTCTTTCAAACCCTTCCATCTTCTGCAGTTTCTTTCTAATATCTGGGGCTGACTGACTGACAAAGGCTAAATTCACAGCCCTCCTTTTATTAGGGTC